GTGACTTCGACATTAGCTAGTTTGTCACATCATTCACGTCTAACTTGAGTAGGCCTCCAATCATTTCGACATAGATCATCTACTTTGGTGATCTACAGGAGGAAAATCAACATTATTAGAGTCTTCTTCTATATGCACAGCTTTAAGACGATGAATGTTGATGTTATCGTTAGTTACCTTTTTATCAGTGATTTAACATTTAGTTGAGAAGTGAAGAACTTTGAAGAGTCTCTTTTATCGCTTAGAGAGGTCATCGTAATGGTTCATGACGTACAAAACCGCGTGAACTATATCGTAAGTCAGGTTGGACGAAAACATCAGATGACTGCGGTCGGGTGGAAACATGTCTAGCTGAACTCATGGCGTTTGTAAGCCTGATCGTGTGAGGGTTTGGATCCATATTCATTGAAGAAGATGAGTGATTCAAGAAGGATCCTGGAAGTCGCAGTGTCGTTCGGTGCACAAGTTGTACTGCAGTTTATCCAATGTCAGCTTTTGCTGCATCGCTATTTTCGAGTAACATGAGCGGAAGAGCATCAGTCCACTGTGAAACGTTTGCATCTGAGAGTGAAGCATTTAGCTGTCAGTAAAATGGTTCTACCAACCCGTTTGCATGTAGGTGATAGGAGGCCGTTCAGAATCGTGTGATTCCTAATGTTGCATTCAGACACGGGAATGTCCAGATTCGAAATGGCGTCCAATGTCTGTAGAGGCAGTTTAAGAGCAGCCGAAGTTTGCAACCCATCGTTTGACAAAGAGGCGGACAACTGTTTTGGCAGTGACGTACTTGATAGGTATTGTTTCTGGTCATTTTGTGAAACGGTTCTCACACGTTAAGAGGCGACAGTGTCAATCTGAATCTTGTGAGGTCCTACCAAATCCAGTAAACATGATCAGAGCGTTAATCAAGAGTTGTGAAAGAGCTCAAGGGTAACCTGCTGTGCATTGTAGTGCCCTACTTTTATCAAGAGAACGCGAGTGGTGTAATGGAAATAATTATTAATATAACCAGTGGTACCGGTGATTGTTTTACTAGAGACATTCTTACTTCCGTTGATTGTGACCTTTCACGAATTCGGTTGCGTTCAGTAAACACACTTGTAACCTGGCACGATCTCAGTATTCTTTCGATACCACGAGATCGCCAACAAATGCATCTCGACGCCACACTACAACTGGTAAGCCAAATCTACGAACACGTCTCAATCTCTGGCCAAATCTTCCAAAAACTACTACGGTGAGTCTATTACTTGTCTATCCATATTTGTTGCACATTTTTACATTGATGTTTTTTAATACATAATATTCTGGCAACAACATGGGATGACGGATAACGATAAGAATAGTAGTAATATAATAGACTCCGATGTACGCATACAGAATCTTAGATGTTTTTCATTTGCGTGATGATATATTACGCGCTTTATTCGGGAAGTTTCCCCAGTTGACTATTCTCCTCACTGACTCGTCTGCATGGTATGGAACGCATACGCACTACCGCCTACCACCCAGCATCGAATGGCTTAGTTGAATGGTTTCATCGCCAACTTGGAAGTGCCCGTCGAGCACACGAAAACAACAATTGGTCCGAGACCTTACCGCTCGTCCTCTTAGGTATCAGAATGAACTGAAAGGCAGATATTCAATGTTTCGCCATGCTAATCAATCCTGTGCAAACCAAAAGATGAAATAACAAAGGAAAACATATCAAACATCATCTACAAAATAAATTGTGCCAACTGCGAAAAACACTACATCAGACAAAGCGGACGCCCCCTTCACCTGCGCCTACATGAACATCAATTAGCAGTCAAATGGCATGATATCTCTTCACTTATATCAACACACGAGGACAACTGCGGACAATCATTCGATTGGAAAAATGTGGAAATCTTAGACAGAGGAAACTCAAAAACACCAGAAAATTTTTAGAAGCTTGGCACTCAGGTCAATCATCAATCAACAAGCATATTTAAATCAATCCAATTTATCAACCAATCAGAAAAATCATGCACAAACATAAGAACGAAAATCAAAACAATGGGAGACACAACCAAAACAAAAAAGTAAACAATGACAAATTTAAGGTCATTAAGAACCAATCAACATCGAGGTGCACAGAACAAGCTTTGAAACACATATGGAGAAGTTCAAACACTTCACTTCTATTTGAAGTTTGTGCTGATGATGTCGTTCAGAAGAACGATGAAAGCTTCACGACCAAACCACCCAGCTCAGAGAACAAAACTCCACCAAAATCATCCACCTGAGCTACAGATCTTCTCCACCATGACGTAGTTATGTAGTGGAATTTTTGATGTCCTGACGAATCATTTCACGAAATATTCCTCCTTCAACGCATTTGAAATCTGTATATTTAACATAGTCTAGCAGTAGTTCCTTGAGAATCGCATAAGGAAGAGAAATAGACTTTCCTGGTAAATACAGAGGTTTTGGTAAGCTGTAAGCTTTTGTGCCGATGAATGTGAAATAACATGCCACAATGTTAACATCCTCAACATCTTACTTGGTCATAGCCAGATTCCAAACTTTTCCAAGTAATCCTCAAAACTATCAAAGTGTGAATGTAAGTCCAATCGTTCCATCACAGGCTCAATTGCGACGCCAATGTGATAGTTAGATGTGTTTGAGTTATATTAAAAACTAAGAATCCCAGAAATAAAGCAGTTGGATTAGGAAGTACTAGATAAGCACGAACGAATGTACTGTATTTGGAATTCGCAATCAAGCATTCAACAAGTTCAAAGAGATCATTAGTTTATTCAAACGCAACAAGTTATCATGTACAAAGAAATAATTAATACATACAAATACCACATATTTCATCATGTTTTTTCCGTTACAAATACTGTCCAATGAAACAATTTGACAAGATTTTCAGCGCATTCCTTCTATTATGTGCATTATGGATGTCAGTCTGCTGAAGTCAAACGGGAACGATGCGACTATTCAACTTACATAATCTTACGCTGAGATTGTTGTCTAACCTGACCCATCCGAAAATGGTAGCTATGTTATTCTGCACAGTTCGAGAAGTAATAAAGTCCTATCACGTATATCAGAATTACTTTAGCTGAGTAGTTCCAATTTTATAAGGAACAGCTTTATAACTTCATCAAGTAAACTCTTTTCGAATGCCTACATGGTCGATTAGTTGAACATTGTGTGAAAAACGGTCAGTTAGTGGCAAATGGCCGTCATTTCTCTAAGTTTCCCAAACTCTAGATATTTTTAAATCATATTTAGTGAACGCTACCTTCTTTTCTGGTGGTAAAGTACCTTGAACACCAAGGACAATATGTCAGAACTTTTACACTGCATACTCCAGCATGAAGGACGGTTGTAATAAACCCCTAAACATAAGCTGTAGCCATTTAACACTAAACAAAGACCAGACCAGATACACTGGTAAACCAGTTGTTATCTAAGTTTAAACATTAGTATAAAACGGTAATCAGGTTCATGTTTTCAAGCTAAGAACCATATCACGATGTTTGGGAAGAAATATGAATAATTTATTAAGATTCTGAAAGTGATCACTTAACTTCGGATACCCAAGTCATTAATCTTCCGTTTCATCTTCTTTCTGCAAAAATACAGATCTTTCTGAAGCTTTATTGTGATAGTGATGACTACTTCGTATTTTGTTATGTGTCTCATTCCAATTTCAATACATTGAAGATACCGCAGGTATTCGGAGTTTGACAACGCTTTAACCAGTAACAACTAATATGAATCGTACCCATCGAGTGAAATAAAAAGACAGAAGCGAGAAGGTTCGAAGATATATTGATAGGTTATCAATATGTCGAGAACCGTCTGATCTAATCTGGCTAAGGATTGCAGGGGATGTTGAGCATGGTGTTCTCATTCGTGATCTGATGTGGATGCATGACCGAGCGCCTTCAGCTAGGTGAGCCCAATGTCGAAAACTTACAGAGCTATTTATTTTGAGGATTAATATACCGATACAACACTGTATATTCATATGACTTCAGTTCTGGCTCAGCTGTGACTGTTCGGGTACTAACTGATTAGCTCCGTGCATTACTATTCCGCATATTATGTCCGTAATTTTTACAACGCAAGAATTCCTGCGATTGAAGAGCTCAAAACAACTGTTAACCAATGTCAAACTAGAATCTTTAATACGAACGTCAATACAGTCTTGCTGTATGGAGCTGATATGTGGAGAACCACTACAACCATCATATAAAGTACATGTTTTTAAGAACAACTGTCTACACAAGACACTCGGTTGACCGGATATCATCAACAACAACCTACTATGGCAGTGAAAAAACCAATTTCTAGCTGACGATGAAATTAACAAATGACGTTGGAAGTGGATAGGACATACATTACAGAAATCACCAACCTGCATCACAAGGCAAGCGCTAGCTTGGAGCGCTGAAGAGAAACGTAAAAGAGGAAAGCTGTAGGACAAAATACGTCGGAAATTGGAAGCAGACATGAAAAGGATGAGTAGCAACTTGAAAGAATTGGCAAGGATTGTTCAGAATAGAGTTGGATGGAAAATGCTGGTGAGTGGCCTGTATTTATGACTAAGCATATATCCTAACAAACCCTAAGATCAAATTACACTGATAATTCCCTGTACATAGAACGTCATATCTAGTCCTTTTATCACATTTTTTTATATCTGGAACATTCGTTATGAATTTCAAGAGACATAATTTAATATTTCTACCAAAGTACCTATTTTAATATACAACATTGAATAGATACCTTTTTGTTGATTTCCGTGAGACAGTAGACAATTCCGGTTATTTCAGTGTATTATTGTACTATCGCTGATATTTTGTGTAATTTCTCATTTTAACGACTACAACATTAGATATTTCACTACATGACTGTTCAACAGTTATCTAGGACTGATGAATTTAATGTAAACTAGTAAACATTTGTAAATGTTTACTTCGGTAATCTTAACTGCTACCACTTATTAGTAAGCAGATTTCCGATATGGTGTTTTTGCTTATTTATACAACTGAGAAAATGAAAAAGCAAACAACAATGCAGTATAAGTAAAAAAGAAATAGTAAGCGCAAAATCACATAAAATCAAAAAGACGTTTTTTTATCGTTTCATATATTGTTAACTAGATAATTCAGTTCAACGATATTACTTCAGAAACCGGAAAGAGAATTATTGACTATCCCACAAATATTATTTTTGTTCACGAAGATTTAACATCTGCGACATCAGCAATTCCTATTCGCCGTTGACCAACATCAAATACTGTATAAACTTTTCTTAAAAATACATCCCCAAATATCCATAACGGGCCACTTGGGAAGTCAGTACCAATGAAGCAAGTCCTGCAAATCCGTGAACCGTTTGAAACTTTCTAGTAATAATAAGATATAATAATGAAATACTGTTATTTTTATTCAAAACATTTATATGGATTGATTTTATAGTAATTTTTATTTACCAGTTATGTAGTCCACATCAGACAGTTAACTAGCTTGGAACGCTTACCATTTATAAATACTTTTTGATCAATTTTTTAAAGTTTCATTGCTACTGAAGTGTTAGCTAGTCAACTGAAAATTGTTTTAAACTTCAGTAAAGTAAACACCTTAACTCATATAACATAAGCTACAAATATTTTAGTGGATGTCATGCACTCTTTGTATTTTTTAAGTTGATATTTATTATTTATGAATTAATTAATATCTGGTGATTGAATGATTCCATTTCAAGTTGAGTTTTCACTAAGAGGATCTTCTAAATTAGAAAAACTTCAAAGACAAGCGACTAAGTGAGTGTTGTTTATCTAAAAAGTATAGTTTTCGCAAGCCAAAAAAAAACTTGATGGAGCTTCCCAACGAACCACTATTGGTATGCGCTGTTACACAATGCACAAATGAACTACAAGAGTAAGAAATTTTTGAGTGCTTACACTGACAGATGGCTACAAGTATGAAGTTGTAGATTCGTGATGTTCGCCTTATGTGTGTAAATAGAGTTTATCGCAATAAACGGAATAGAACCTGGAAGATTCACAGTAAACATACAAATAAACAGGCATAACTTTCAACCATTAGTAAATATTAAGTTCATCCATCTAATTTTAGATATACAAATGTCAAATAACTTAGTGAACAACATGTGATGCAAAGCATAGATATGTCAAATATAAATGCTGAAATGGATAAACGCAATTGGAAATCGTAGAGATTACAATTTTATTAATAGAAATGATTCAAAGAATAAAGTAAACTTGTATAATCTAGTGGTAACTTTTCTGACTACAGTTGTTGGCAACTTGGATCAGGATCTCTAGTTGAGTATCGGTTTCATTAAGGTTTTCAGAGATCCTTAAACAGTGGGTGCCAACCAGTATAAATTGGAAATCCAATACATTTTTGAGACTAAATAAAGTGTTTAGTAATTATGTCTTACTTAGTTTAGTAGTTATAGTGATAAATTAATAAATAAAAGTCGTTGATCAGAGAGAATTGCTCAACATAGTATTGAATGTTGTTCAGTGATTGGTGACCATACAGTAAAATTTCTCCTAACTCAAAAGCTTCAACGAACCCGTAGAATAAGGATTTCTAACTCAGTAAGATAGTTTTGATGTTATTTTTCCTAAGCTAGATTACTTGTTAACCATAAACGATTACAGGAACCAAACTTATTAAAGCCGTATCATGATCTATAAATCAACTTACTGAATAAAATTGCTTTACACTAGAACTTTGACATTAGTGGTCTCTAATCATTTTTATTGAGTGTTTTGCCAACTTAACATCTAATCACATGGCTATATAGTCTGTTCTCTAATGACTTAAATCTACCGAGTACTCGAAAATTAAGATCAATACTTTGTTAGACAAATGGTAAATATAAAACATCAATATAATACAAGAGATTGGATGATATTAATGTGATTATTATGGAACATATGCCTAACGTAAATATACTATCATTTAGAAGTAGTATAATACAGAACTAATTGTTTGATTATCCAAATTATTCACAGTAAAATTCAAAGTCGTTTTTTTTCAGTGTACCTGCAATTAACTTTCTTCTCGTCAAAATGGGATTGTTTAAATGTATGTTCATGTTGGATAAAGTTAAGGTCATACGCACCACGTCCCACAAATGAAATTACCGACAAAATCTTAGGATTGTTGTTGAATCTTATGTTCTACTACTAGTTTCCTAAGTGAAAAACAAACTACCTTACATGTTATAAATGCAATACACTACTTAATTACCTGATCAGCTATAAAACCTGACTAATAAGTAAAGTAACTACTACATATTGAAACAATTAATAAACAATTTGTGAATAATATTATTATAAACAATAGACTTAATATTTTAATAATCCATGCAAGTTTTGGGTTGTCATTAGATTGAACTGGTCTTTAAGAGTTACATCTGAAATGTCTGTTATATGAATTACAATTGTTTCACACTATCTCCATGTAACACAAATTCTATCACAATTTTGGTTTGTAAGCAGCTGACGAGAAACCTCGAAATAATATGAATTCATACTATTCTGCATCAATGTTTGTTCTTGCTCTATTCAAATTGAATTACAATTGTTAGCCAACATTAAAACAATTATACACAATTACTACAAGTACTGTTTTCTCACCTCAACAATGTAATCATCTGCTTTCAATTGAATAGATTTGCCATTAATCTTTATTTCGATTATTGGTAACTTGTGCATTTTATTACAATCCACAATGTATTCATTATCAGATAGTTGTAAACTTCCAAGATATTTATTTATATCATTAATTTTTTCAGTTGGACCTGATATTAAGGTTGTACCCGTATCGATTAGTGCGGTACTTCCACTTGGACAAAATATTTTGTCGTTGATTGATATACTTTCAACATTTTCAAGATGACGTGAATAATTTTTAGCATTTAATAAAAGATTTCCATGATTAATAGATTTAAACATGCGTAGATACTTTTTTTAAGTTTTAATCACTGTTTTTTGCATACCGAAATACTCATAAGAAATGTCATTAACTAAAAATGCTTTCCCTTTTTGATTCCTTTCTCTTTTAATGTTATAATTTATGACCTATTTTCCAGTACATTACTAAAATAAAAGCGGTGAGACCATAGTTTGTGGACAACTTTTGAGTGACACCAGAGTAACCTCTCGAAAATTCAGCAACCTACTTGAGTCTAAAAACGGTTAAAAATTAAAGTTAGGGTTTTCATTACAAACTGACATCAGCTATAATTCCAAAATACTATTTAGCCATATGTGTAAGTGGATCTCGCGTCAAAACGCAAGACTCACTATCTTAAATCGGATTGGTTCGTACATAAATTATAGTCATCCAAGAAAAACATCTCGTCGTTTCAATTTTCATTGATCTATCCAGTCAATCTTTTGAGCAAAAATGTTATTTAGGACTGACTAGGTCTTATTGTCAAGAACATAATATAGGGACGAGCTTAAAATAACTGTCATAAATTATCAGTCATTTCTTAACCAATCAGAAAACAGTCGTTGTAAATGAATAGTTTTTCGTACTGAAAATGATCATATTACAAACTGTACATAAATTTTACTTATTTATAAATCGAAAAAAAGACATAAATTCGTTCTTATGGACATAGATTATTGGTTTTCTCAAATAATTACCAAGACCCAAAAAGATTTTTATGAGTCCCAATATTGTCCTTGATTAGGGTTAAGGATTTAAGGTAAAGATTAGGGGTATAGGGTCAGTGTTTTTATCACAAATTGACATCAGTCATATTACATAAGTCATAAGTCCTCTGTCGCCTTATGTGTGGATGAATTTTGCTCAGGAACAAAAGAGGCACTGTTTAATCCGTTCTGTCATAAACTTTAGTGCCATCAAGTTAGGATTTGTTTCAAGACTAGGCATTTAGAGCTAGGATTTAGGAAGTGTTGATTCTCCTGTCATATATAATCTACAGAAATCAAGTCAAGCATTGATATTTTTAATATATTTTTTCCTGTGCATTGTAAAAAATAATTTTCTGCTATCATTTTAAACGTATTGAGCAGCATACACATTAATCCCAACTGCTTGTTATGCATGATATTTGAATTTCAATCAAAAACCTGAGTCACGTTCGCAATTCTAATTTTCTTATCACCATAATATAACAGTATAGGGTCGTGGAGATTATTATGTTTTTGATTGAGATCATGGACCGGTTGATGTTAGACCACCAATGGAAACTTGGAAGCACTAGACGGCCGTTTCTTCCTATTGTGGGACTCCTCAGCAGTGAGCATCCACGATAATATACTATATACTATAATATACTTTTAAAAGACTTCAAAGTGAATAAACAATTACATGTAAACTGGATGTTGAAAAAACTACAACTAGGGAAACTTTATCAAGTAGCGAAGTCCTATTTAGATATAACTAGTGGTCCGAAATCAACATTGTAAAGTCGTATTACACTTAAATGGTTTATATATATATATGTTTATATACTTTTCAGTAGCAGTCATAAAGCACATAGCACTCGAGTAGCCACACCTCACACTTAGATCTTTTTGTATTCAGTAGAAAGGGTACTTGGGGTGCTGCTTAGTGAAATCAGTGGGATTTTTTAACCCTACATTCGGAATTTCTCCGAATGAGCTTGCTTATTTGAAAAGACATATTCATGAGGTAGAGTTATTCTTTAAAGAAATCACTTACCCATCTATTTTAATCATCCAATATTCTTCACTTACAACGTCTGAATAAGTTAAATCACCAGTATAATATTTATCATCAATCCCACCAAACATTATTTCTCCACTAGTTGTTTTATCTTCATTACTGATTGGTGAAAATCAACAAACATGAAATCAATCATTCAAGGTACATCGAAAAATAAGTTCTTTGAACAAAAATTGAGGTATACCCATAATCAATCTATATATATTAGTGCATTCATATATGAAGTATATCGTTTGATTAAATGGAACAGTTAGTTATATATTAGTTATATTAGTTATATATTACGAAAAATTAGTATATATACAAACAAGTCCTGTCTATTATTTAGTTGAATAAAAATGTGTATTCTAGATTTTACTTTAGGATGCTAACTGAACTAATATTAAAACAAACAACCACTTAGAATTTCAAACCAAATAAACAATTCTTTTGGATTATCATTAACTTACAGATTTAAATAAACTGAAAATACAGGTTTATCTACTAAATGCTGTTCAATCATATTCAAAAATATAGGTGTTGGATTAGAATTTTGTGAGCTTTGTTGAAATCCCATACCCATAATTCCATCAAAATGAAAATTTATAAATACTTGACCAGGTTGATGAGTTACTTCACCAAATGTTTGATCTACAATATTCAATGAACCGATCTAGATGATTATTATTTTTTTTTAAATAAAATAAATAATATATACATACTTACATGAACACAATCTGAGCTTAAAAACCCTGATGCTATTCCAGTGCCGTATTTGACATAAAATAATGCACCATTCGGTTTATAAGTTGAAGATTTTGAACTATCATACTTATGATGTAATTGACATGCTAAATCACTGGAATCACACATTTTAGATGGTATCCATAAGTATGGTGATCCTGTGTCGAATATCACATAAAATGTTTGAGGTGGAGTCCCAATAGAAATTTCTCCATAATATTCAATCTAAAAATTTGATTGTAATAAATCGTATGTTAGAAAGATAAAGGCCCCCCCCCAAAAAAAACAGAGATCCGAAAGAAAGTTATTCTATGTCGATTATTAATTATGAACTTACATTTTGGTAATTTTCTAAATATTCAGCATATATTCCATCCTTTGATGATGTCAGTCTTTGTAACCATTTATTTTTGAATTGTTTAATTGATAAATTCCATTGATCATTCAATACAGGATAAGATAAGTTTAAATGAAGAGATGAATGTAATTGAATCCTGTACAATATAATCGAAAAACTTCATATATAAATTATGATAGCACTAACCTTATAATCGATTCACTGTAAACAAAGAAAGGTAGCAATAAAATGAAAACTTTAAACAAAATCATTTGTTACTTATTTAATGATTGTTGGAGTTCATTACTTTTATTTTCGTTCGTTCGTTAATAAATACCCTATGAAATTATAACAAAATGAATTCATAGGTTATTCATATGGTGTAATTTATCAGCATAATAAAAAAATACTCATAGAGCAATACAACATTGGAATTAATGATATAGTTTAGTATTTATAAATCTTTTCGATCTTTGGCCCCTGTTTTTTTTCTTTCTTTTTAGTTAATTTCTTAATTATTGCCTTTTATGTACTTTTAATAAGCATGAATATTTTAATTAATCTACAAATAATGGATTTTTTACTGTAAATAAATTAGTGATTTAATGCTTAGTTGAACAATTACATAGTAATATATCATTCAACAGTTATAGCACTTAAGGTTAGTTACGTATATAGCGGTCAATATGTAAGTAAGCTAAGTTATTTACTCTCTCTCTCTCTCTCTCTCTCTCTCTCTATATATATATATATATATATATATATATATATATATATATATATATATATATGATTTGTTTGGCTTTAAACCAGATTTATGTTATTCATAAGATTCAGTGATACTCTTTGTTCACTTAAATCGAAATATGTAGAGTAAGGTTCGAACCAATCGCTTAGTGGTTGCAATTATTGATGACACTTAATTACTTACTTACGCCTGATACTCCTCGTGAAGGAGCATAGGCCGCTAACCAGCATTCTCCATCCAATTTTTCCTAGGCAATCCTTTCCAATTGTTATTCATCCTTTTCATATCTGATTCCATTTCTCGACGTAATGTGTTCTTTGGCCTTCCTCTTTTCCGCTTCCCTTCAGGATTCCAAGTCACGATTTGCATCGTGATGTAGTTTGATGATTTTTTCAATGTATCGCCTATCCATTTCCATCGTCTTTCCCTAATTACTTCTTCAGCTGGAAACTGGTTTGTTCTTTGCCATAGCAGGCTGTTGCTGATGGTATCCGGCCAATGGATGTTGAGTATCTTGTGTAGACAACTATTTATAAATACTTACACCTTCTTGATGGTGATTGTTATAGTTCTCCAAGTTTCAGCCCCGTACAGTCAGTCAGTCAGTCAGCTACAACGTAGGACCAGGCACATATGTGCATCGGTCCAGGTTGCCATACCGCATCAACACAACAAGATGAACACCAGATTCATAACAGTGGTTAGGTGAAAGGTGGTAATATATGAGAAAGATTGCATATAGAGATATAGTACAAGCAGAAAGAATTGGTTCGTAGAAAGAAAGATATGAAGCGATTTTAATCTCATAGTTTAAGGGAAGACAGGGAGTGTATACACCGACGCCATTGTGATCGATTCTGAGCCATGTCACCAAGAGTCTCCAACCATTGGTTTCGATAGTCACGCGGACCCCAACCAAGTAGTCTGCATCTACCAACATGGCTCAGACTAGAAGTTAGTGACTTCAAGCACTGATGCCACGTTTTGGTTTGGCCGCCCCTAACTTTCTTCCAACCATTTCCAATACCGGATAGCATTGCACGTCGTGGTAATCGGTGTTCAGGCATACGTAACACGTGGCCCAACCATCTCAGTCGATGAAGATTCATAACCTCATCAACTGATTTACCATCCTTTCCTAATACCCTGCGTCTAACCTCACTATTACTTACCCAGTTATCCCAGCAGACGCCAGCAATATTTCTTAGGCATCTGTGGTCAAATACTAATAGCTTACGAGTGTCTTCTACTCTTAATGGCCATGTTTCGCTGCCGTAAATTAAAACAGAACGGACTGCCGCGCAGTATACTCGTCCTTTTATTGATAGATGGATATCTCGCCTTGGCAATAGGTGACGTAAGTTGGCAAAAGCCAAACGAGCTTTTCGAATCCGTGCTGAGATTTCGTCCGATACCAACCCATTAGGGTTGATCAGACTTCCAAGATAAGTGAAGTTGTCAACGCGTTCGACCACTTCACTCCCTATCCTTAGTTCAGGTGTTAACGCAGACCAGTCCTGAAGCAACAACTTGCATTTAGAGGGAGAGAAGCGCATTCCAAACATCCTGGCATTGTTGCTCAGTGCTACCAGAAGATTCTGCATTTTGTCAGCGTCTTCACCAAACAGGACTATGTCATCTGCGTATTCTAAGTCGATAAGTGGACCTCCTGGAAGGAGATCAATACCCGAGAACTCAGTCGACGAGAAAGTTATTTCCATCAGTAGATCTATGATGAAGTTAAACAAAAATGGGGAAAGTGGACATCCTTGACGGACACCACTTGAGGTTGCAAAACTAGATGACAGTTCGCCATAAGCTCTCACTCGACTAGTAGTGTTCGAGTAAAGAGCCTTTACAAGGTTTATGTACTTCTGGGGTACGCCTTTCAATGACAGACACTGCCACAGAACCTCGCGGTCTACCGAGTCAAATGCTGCTTTTAAGTCAAGAAAGACCACCATCGTCGGACGCCGATAAGTATGCCTGTGTTCTAGAACCTGACGAATGGTGAATATGTGGTCGATGCAGCCACGACCAGGTCTGAAGCCAGCTTGATTTTCTCGTGTTTGCAGTTCACGAGTCTTAGTTAGGCGTCTGATTATTATTGAGGCTAGTATTTTAGATATTATATTAGTTAAACTAATCCCTCTGTGGTTGTCACAGGATGATTTTGACCCTTTCTTATATATTGGGACGATAAGTGATTGTGACCAGTCAGATGGAATTACGTCTAACTCCCAGGTCTTAGCTAAAATATTAGTCAACCTAACCGCTAAAATTGGACCACCATCCTTAAAGACTTCTGAAGTCAGTCCATCTGGACCAGCAGCCCTTCCTCGTTTCAGATTATCTATAGCCTTTTGAACTTCAGCAAGAGTTGGGGGACCTACTTCAATGTTCCATTCACGCTGTCTGGGAATGGAGTACAGTAGAACTGCCTTGACGTTTGTATTGAAGATTCTGCCTTTGATATTAATTGGAAGGTGTTTTGAGTACCGTATGTTCTTTAATTGTAGGAATGCGGCACTTATCGACGGGCATACCGTCGACATTTTGCACGCTTTTAAAATTATCAGTAGACAAAGAAGTACGACCACTCTCCGTTTCGTTGAAACGACTGCGATAAAAAATTTAAACCGGATTTCAAAAGACCGAAGGCCCTGGGTTCGAATCCCACTCGCGGGATCGTGGATGCGCACTGCTGAGGAGTCCCACAATAGGACGAAACCGCCGTCCAGTGATTCCAGGTTTTCAATTGTGATGGTCTAATATCAATTGGTTCATGATCTCAATCAAAAACTTAATAATCTCCACAACTCCTATACTAGTAATTTACGAACTATTACACCACCCACCCTTTTTTAACCTCTGACCTGTTCTAGTATATATCTATATGTATATAGTTATTATTGAAATCCAGTTATTGTTTTCACACTATCTCAATGTAAAAAATTCTACCACATTTTTGGTTTGTAAGCAGCTGACGAAAAACCTCGAAATATTATGAATTCATACTATTCTGCATCAATGTTTGTTCTTGCTCTATTTAAATTCATAAAGGGAACCAATTGCATGATATTTCAAAACAGTAGAAAAAGGAAGAAAATCGGTTGATAAAATGTTAGTTACACCGGATAAATGAAAATCATTATGCAATTAACTAGTTCACTAACAGATAAAACTTAGTTAAATACTTCAAAACAAACCTAAATGTCAAAATCGATCACAACAAAATTTAATAAGAAGGGAGAAAATATAAATTATCGCTTACTGACTGTATAACAGTCCGTTAACTCTTAATAGTTCTCGTCTGTTGACTGTACATCCAACTCGAAAATTTACTGTCATGATACATCTCGATGTATCACAGTTGTATTTTTCAGTGATTAACCACTGAGTAGTGGTCGATTGTAATCGAATTCGATTTATCAAGATTCAGTGTGACTACTCATCCAAGTGGATCGAAATTGTTTACACTATTTTGCAACGCCCGGTGTTTGCAGGTGGTCAGCAGGAAACCATAAACCAAGGTTTTATGTTTTTTTGGCACCCAGTGGTAAGGAATATTTCCACTCTAGAGAGAACTGATACGAACTGGTGGATTAAAGACCGATTAACCCAGTTCACATCATGAGACGTTAATACTGAGTCATTCGGGGAAAGGGAAACGATATTCTGCAAGATGGAAAAATTCCAAACAGCACGAAACCCAAATATATGGTTTACTCTCACGTAACGACTTGGACTTTATTTCCATTTCTCTTGCCTAGAATAATTTCAAACTTATCATCTACATAATGAAGAAAAAGCTGCACATGATGACATGTCCATTTTATTATTTCTTAAAGTTATTAAGACTACATGAAGACACATTGATTGGCGACAATGATTTCAAAACCGTTATTAAAAATAATAAAAAAATACTTTTACTAATTAGTTGATCAAACCTAGAAAGTAGATTCGGATTGATTTGTTTAACAAAATTCCTTTCTACAAATTTTCCCCCTTAACCTACTAACCCGAAACCATTCACTTTATTCATAAACGATAACTAACATAGCTCGCCTATGTCAAGACAGTTCTACTGTATGGGGCAGAAACCTGGAGAACTACGAAAGCCATCATCCAGAAAATACAGGTATTTATTAACAGTTGTCTACGCAAAATATTTCGGATCCGTTGGCCGGACACTATTAGCAACAACCTACTGTGGGAGAGAACAAACCAGATCTCAGCGGAGGAAGAAGCGCTGGAAGTGGGTAGGACACACATTGAGGAAGGCACCCAACTGCGTCACAAGACAAGCTCTCACATGTAATCCTCAAGGCCAAATGAACATAGGAAAACCAAAGAACACATTACGCCGGGAAACGGAAATAGACATGAGAAAAATGAACAAGAATTGGATGGAACTAGAAAAGAAGGTCCATGACAGAGTAAGTTGGGGAATGCTGGTCGGCGGCCTATGTTCCATTAGGAGTAACAGGCGTAAGTAAGTAAAGTAAACATAGCTCGCCTAATAATAAACGGGTTTGGGCACTCGACTTTGAGACCTACTATTTATGTAAGGGTTAATATATTGCTCGAATGACTAAACTGAAATGGGAGGAGTGCAATTAGAATATGGAAATTTCCAGTTTATTCCTGAGTACCTTAAATGCTAAGTCTATTAAGGAAAAACTGATTAATTTATTTATTTCGTTAAGAAACCGGTTTTCAGAAGTGATGGTAATTCGTAGGTCAAATAGTTAGCAGTGTAACCTGTTTATGA